TTTCTCCATCCAATTGACAAATTTGCCACCATTCACTACAGTTTTCCTGGCTCCTCAAAGCTAGCCGCAAAACCGTTCATGTGCTACTGAGTGGGACTTGCTTTGTGCTTCGATCTTTGTTGATCCGTTTAGGTACATCTGATCCATAGGGAAGTACTTCCGCCTCCATTTACTAGACATCATTGTTAACATAATAATCTTGACCTTGGTATTTAGATAAGCAAACAAATTCTGATCAGTTACACAGTCTGGCAAAAGTTTGCGTCTCTCATCGCGGTTTTAGTGTCTTCGCACTATTCCTCGTGGTTATATGGCTATACCTCACCTTATGTAATACGGTTTTCAGGAGACACTCACGTTCGATTTCTCATCGGCTTAAAAATGAAGGTCTCATATTTTAGCCGAGTCCCGAGGCTCCGCTAATGCACTAAGTATTTATCACTCCGAGGATTATGTGTACTTATCAGAAAGGCGAATGCAGAGTGCAAGTATACCACTGTAAACAAGAAGTTGCAATCACATGATGTCAAAAAATGATGATGGGCCTAATAGTGATGGAAATCTGCCAGAATAATGCTGAAATGACCACGGTAGATTCCGTGAGCTTTTTCTAGATAGCGCTGCGAAAACTCAAAGGTAGACATTTAACGAGTCTGTAGAAACCAAGTCTAAAATCAATCGGCTGTGGTTGAGGTAGCATGCGGATCTAAGCGCGTAGAGTCCTAACGAAATTAGAGGCGTCCGGAAGAATTGGTTACTGGATATCTCATAGTCCTAGTAACCCATACTAAATTTTATTTCCTTCTGTGAATCATTCGCGGTCAGTGGTTATTCTCCAATTTGCTCTTGGTAACATGCCTTATGTCTCCTTAATACAGGTCTACTTTGCTTCATTGCTGCTTGTTTCTCGAGGTTTTGCTTCCGCCTAAGGTTTGCTTAGACACCACCTACCGATTTTAAGATCATATTGCCTGTTCTTCTTTGATTGCTATTTCTGTCTTCTGCGACGGAAATCTAGGCCTCCCGGGGATTGCACTCGGAACATCTAGGATGGTAGACGGACGCGTTATCCGCTGCTTCAAGCCGACTTCCCGGGCAGCACTATTTTCGTATTACCTTTGTGTTGCATACTAGCCGATAGTGCTCGTTTGAATCTTGTTTCAAACGAGCCTAGCAGCGCGCTTCGGTTTGATACATGGCACATGGTTCTTGGTTACGCTGTCGTTTAATGACGACACCCGATATGCACTTTTCAGACACTTTTCGCTATCTCGCGAACGTACTAGCTGTCTTGCGCAATGTCATCCCCGCAGACGGCCTACTTACGCTGTAACTTACGCCCGTAACTTCCTGTCTCATTGCCGCTATATCTGCCCCTACGCACCGAGCTTTTGTAGATAGTATGTTCTGCTTCATGATGGTTATTAAGCCTTTTTGTCCTTACAGCCAGCTTTCAAAAAAGCATCTACTGCTCTAGCTTGTTGTTGTGTCGTCCGGAGGTAACCCGTCAACTCGCGTAAGGAAGAAGCCAAAGTCGAGCACAGGAACAGGTCTTTCTTGCCGCGAAGTACGGCGGTTTATATAAATCGGAAAAAATGTCATGAGTTGGCTGAGACTTTCCCTTCAACCGAATAACCAATAGGAACCAACAGTTATGCACGATCGAGCAGAAAAATAACGAAATGCAACGACCAATAGGAGCCACACGTGAGAGCGGAACGAGGATAAATCAATAGGGACTCAGTACGATGCAATTTGGTGGCTGAACGTGTGGTGACGACAAAAATAAGCATAATGTGAGGATTGACCAGAAACGATCAGTCCGTAGTTAAGACGAAATTTTAGACAATTAACAGTTCCGTTCTGGTAACATTTCATCCTTTTAAAAATTTGGTTACCTGGAATATGCATAACTTTGTCTTCTTGGGTCAAACTGTAATAGTTGCACGAACCTTGGCTTTCGTTTCGGTTTCGATCTCTTTTCGTGCGAATTTGTATCGTTCTGCTTTTGATTCATTGTATTTCCTGCTCTGGTTTAACCTATATGCAACAACTGGTTAAGGCTCTGTTTCCTTGTATTCGGCGCTGAGTTCATTGTTGAATAGCGCATCTTCAACTGATTCGCATGGCGGATCCACCTTTTCTTTCCGACTTGGACATCGTATAAGACGTTTCCACGGCCCCGCAGGATGCATCCAGGCTTCCAGGTTGTCCGATTGTTTCCAAAAGCCAATGCAAGTACTGAGTCACCAACGCGGAACTTCCTTTTGCGTGCACCATGATGTCGATTGAATTGATGCTCCATCTTGTGATTTCTGACTTCTAACTTTGGTCGTTTAGGGATCATCAAATCCAATGTTGTACTCAAACGCCTTCCCATGAGGATTTCAGAAGGTGATTTTCCGTCAGGAGAATTTGGGTTCGGAGTGATACGGTAGTTCAGTAAAAAGCTTTCCAATCGCTGTTCGAGAGTCCCCTCCCCCATCGATTTTTGAAGTGCCCGTTTCATCGTATCCACGAATCGTTCTGCCTGTCCATTTGACTGAGGGTGGTATGGAGCAGTTCTTGTGTGTTTGATCCTATTCCTTCCACAAAATTCTGCGAACAGTGCTGATGTGAACTGTGATCCATTGTCGGATACATTGGTTTCCGGGTAGCCATGCTGACTGAACATGTGCCTGAGTCGCCGAATCGCGGACCATGCTGTCGTGCTCTGTATTACAACAGCTTCGGGCTATTTGCTATAGGCATCCACCACTATCATGATTGATGCTCCATAGATTGGTCCGGCAAAGTCAATATGAACCCTCGACCAAGGCAAATCGGGTGTTGGCCATGTCTGGAGCTCTGTCTTGATTGGTCGTTTTGATGCGTATGCACGATACGAACAGGAACGGCCGAGTTCTTCCAGCTGGCTGTCCATCATTGGCCAGAACACAATACTTCGAGCAAGCGCCTTCATTCGATTGATTTCGGGGTGTCTTTTGTGTAGTTGTTTCAGGACACTTGCGCAGCATTTCTGGAATAACGATCCGTTCACCAAAGAGCAAGCACGCTTCAATTTCTGATAATGATTCACGTCTAGTGAAGAACTGTGATAGTTCTTTCCTCGGGCATCTCTTTGGCCAACCGTTACGAACGTAGTTAATCACTTCCTGTAGGATATAGTCGTGTGCTGTCTCATTTTGAATCATCCTGGCGGTGACTGGTAAGGAACGTACTGCGTCATGCAATAGGTAACTGACGTCTGGTTCTGTTTTCACTGCAGCGATGATAGTATCTTCAGATCCTCGTTTTTCAGTGTCGATTAGTCTGGATAGGGCATCGGCTTGTCCAATGGAATCCGTAGATAGGTATTTCATTTGGAAATCGTACCCCAGCAGCAACGTGGCCCATCGTTGTAATCGACTGGCTGTATATATCGGAATTCCCTCCTTTGATCCGAACATTGGCGAGAGCGGTTTGTGGTCCGTCAGGGGTGTAAATCGGCGACCATACAGCATTTTGTGGAATTTTTGCACCGAAAATACTATGGCCAATGCTTCTTTTTCGAGTTGACTGTAATTTCTTTCGGTCGTCGCCAGAGCTCGCGCAGTATGTGCCACGGCCTTTTCTGACCCATCCGGAAATCGATGCGAAATCACAGCTCCAATCCCGTAGCTGGAAGCATCGGTCGCTAGGGTTATGTCCAAGTTCGGGTTGTAATGCGTTAGAAGTAAATCGGACTTCAGTAGTGATTTCAGTTTGTTGAAGGCCTGCTGACACTCTCTGGACCAAATCCACTCTACATCTTTCGCCAAAAGTTGATTTAACGGGTACCGTAGTCGATGCATTTCCGGCAAAAATTCACTGCAGTGGTTGATTATCCCAAGGAACGATCTCAGTGTGGTAATGTCCGTTGGTGCCGGTAGTCGAACAATTACTTCATTGTTCTCCGGGTTCGGTCTACGTCCATGTTGATCGATTATGAAACCCAGAAATTTGATCGATTTCATAAATAGTTTGCATTTTTCAGCTCGGAGTCGTAACCCATAATCCCTTATTTTGCTCATAACTTCGTCCAATCGGTGGAGCAACTCGGTTTCTGTACTGCCCATCACAATAATATCGTCCAAATAGGTGGCAGAACCGAGGATTCCTGATAGCATCGTATCCATGAATTGTTGGAAGATTGCCGGCGCAGTTTTCACCCCGAACGGCAGGCGATTGTACTGGTACAATCCACAATGGGTATTTATCGTGAGAAGTTTCCGACATTCTGGATCAACTTCGAGTTGTAGGTATGCTTCTGCCAAGTCCAAGGTTGCAAAGTATTTTCCACCGTTCAGTCTTGCGAAAACGTCCTCTGGAAGTGGCAGTGGATATTCGTGGGGTTCGTGCGCTGCGTTCAATCCTGTCGAAAAATCTGCACACAATCGGATAGTACCATTCGGCTTTTTGATCACCACGATTGGAGTTGCCCATGGAGAGAAATTGATCCGTTCAATCACGTTCGCTTGTTGTAGTCGGTCAAGTTCCTCATCAACCAAAGTCTGGGATGCATACGGGACCGGTCGTCGAGGTCGGAATACTGGTTTGGCATCTGGTAACAGCGTCAATTTTGCTTGCATTTTTGTGCAATAGCCAAGTTCGGAATCGAAAATGTCTGCGTATCTTGAACAAAGTTGCTCCGCTGAAGTTACTAGAACATAGGTCGGCACAGCAATCCGGCGTACATCGGCCTCGGATTGGGTACACACCTTGTTCAGTGGCATGTCCAATAACCCCAAATTTTCAATCCAATCCATACCCATGAGGTTAATTCCTGCATTGGATGATACGAACAAAGCTCCTGAGAAACGTGCACCACGGAATTCCACTTCACATTCCATTACACCGTCAAGATCCATTCTGTCACCGGATGCGTTCTGCGCCACCAATTCGGTTGGTTTGAGTATCGGACGCCCCAGCTTGTTCCAAGTATTTCGAGATACCAGTGTGATATCAGACGCCGTATTGAGTTATAGTTTCAATAAAACGTCGTTCACGGTAACCGCTACGTATTTTCTGCACGAATTGAAATCAGTTCGAAAGGCTGCCAGAATAGCCTTTGTGTTGGACCAAGGTCTTCGAAATCGGTTGGGCCTGTGCTGTTTGTACGAGGGGGTTGAACGCACTCGTATGGGTTTGCGATCGGGTCGACAGTGTGATTCTTTGTGACCGATTTTCTTGCAATTCTGGTACTGATGACTCTTGAATGGACGGAAACGGGAAAAATGCCATTCACCACACTGCGAACAAGCGTTTGGAGGTTTCTGATTTCGAGCAACATCGTGAGAATTGGTGTGTTTGACCATCGTTCTGCAAACCTGCGGGTCTTCCTGATGACCGGGTGTCTCGATCATTCTAGTATCGTGTTTCAAATGTATCAGCCTTTGGCACTCGTCTGTGATGGCTTGCAACGTCAAGTTTGGCTCCTGTTCCAGTTTGTGGAGTATACGTGTTCGAATGTCTGCGTCTGAATGCGATTGTAGCCTGCAGACGAACACGAGACTTTTCATTTGGTCTGGTGTCATGGTAGCCAACCTGAAACGCTCACACTCCTTGTTTACTATCCCGGCATGTGTGACGAAATCATGGGAGTCACACTTTGTGAGCTTCAGGCAATTATATCGGATGCTGAATAGAGATGCCTGTTCTCCGAAAATTTGGGTCAGGGTCCGGACAGTTTCATCGAACGAAAATTCGCGTGGGTTTTTCGGCAGCACAAAATTGGAGTATCGTTCGTGTTCCACTGCACCGAGTTTTCTCAGCAGGAGACGAACTTTCCAAGAATCATCTTGATTTGCCAACTCTACTCGGAAGATGTCTTCATACTTCTGGAACCACGATTCAAATGTCACTCCTGATAAACCATCGAAAACGAATTCGGATATGGAAGCAGTAATGGCATCAACTGATGACTGATTCTTGCCCACAATGGTTTTGGATTTGAGGTTCAATTTTTTGAGAGCATTTCAATCAGCTGTTTCTGGGATTCTTCAAACTGTTTCTGCTGGATATGAAGGAGTTGCTGCATTTGTTCGAATGAAGTTGCCATCTCGTCCACACAATCCGTCGCCAGGTTGTTGTGTCGACCGGAGGTAACCCGTCAACTCGCGTAAGGAAGAAGCCAAAGTCGAGCACAGGAACAGGTCTTTCTTGCCGCGAAGTACGGCGGTTTATATAAATCGGAAAAAATGTCATGAGTTGGCTGAGACTTTCCCTTCAACCGAATAACCAATAGGAACCAGCAGTTATGCACGATCGAGCAGAAAAATAACGAAATGCAACGAACAATAGGAGCCACACGTGAGAGCGGAACGAGGATAAATCAATGGGGACTCAGTACGATGCAATTTGGTGGCTGAACGTGTGGTGACGACAAAAATAAGCATAATGTGAGGATTGACCAGAAACGATCAGTCCGTAGTTAAGACGAAATTTTAGACAATTGACAGTTCCGTTCTGGTAACATTTGTCTGTTCCCACTACCTACTAAATACGAACGGTGTCTAGTCTGATAGCTTCAATCGTCCTGTAAGATCCTTTGCCTCCCTGATAAGGTTTCTAAGAGACACACATTTTCTTACCTTGTGTTTTAAAATGATGGACAATGCTATTTGAACCCGAGTCATGAAATTCTGAGAATGGATTATGTATTTGTCGTTCCTGATCTGATACCAAATCATCATGGTATTAATACAGTGCTCAAATATGCCACTGTAATTAGGAATTTGAAAAAAAATGACGTCAAAATTCTGGTAGTGGACCAAATCATTTGCGAGAATGATGCTGAAATTACTGTACTAGGTTACGCGTGTTCCCCCTAGATAGCTCTGTGAACCAGTCGAGCGTCGATTGTCCAGCGCAGTTATAGAAAACAATGGCCAACGATGAGATGAGCAATTCCATCCATGAAGAATCTCAGCACACTTAGCAGAAGCGTCTTGAAAACCTGATAATATCATAAATCTTTCACTGCCTTTCTATTTCCTACCATTTTTTTGGTTTGCCTTATCTGAGTTTTATGGCGGTAGCATTTCAATTAAGCCCGCTGATAATGTTCCGCCCTCCCAAACTCATTCACGGAAAATTCCATGGGCGTACTTTATCGGCTTTTATTTAATTCATCTTCAAAATCCAGTATTTTTTTCGTAACATTGTAATTTCATTCCTTTTCCTGCTGGAAAGTGGCTTGCTCAACCATTTATCACTACCTAGTGGTTATTTGTCGCGTGCGCCCTTGCCCCTCTAATTTCGATCCCCTCCACGGATCCCTAGAGAAGACACCACATTACGCTAAAACAGAATTCGTACGAACTTGACCAATTCTGTGTTCTAGCCATTCGTTGACCATTGAAGCTTTATACAAATGACCATGCTGGATGTTCAATGGGCACGGTGTATGACTCCTCACCTGCGCGTGTTTACTCAATGCATTACATCCAATTTTAACCTTTCGCTGGCCGGAAGTACCATTTAACACATGCTCCTCATGTTCTGCGTGATTCTTCGTAATTTAAATCGAACGTCAAACACCATAGTCCCTGTTAACGTCGCTTTACTTAAACTGCCTTGGTACCCAGATTTCAATCTGCTTTTAGCATCCCGTTGCCAATTGAGAAGGCGGTTGGCTGAGCATTTCATTCCAGGCTTAGTATCGTCGCCAGGGGATATCTAATACATAACGTGAGCGATGGGTTCTGGAATTGTTTCGCGTAACCTGACTCTTGAGCATGCCTCTAAAATCCATGTTCAATTTGTCTCGCCTGAATAGCTCTTTTGACTGCTGTATTGTGGTCTTTTTCGGCTTCACGTAAATGCCCAACCAGGCAAAGTTCTATTTTTAGAAGTTTTATTCCTTTACTTCAGTTGGCTCATTTACAAACGTTCCCTTAATTGGTTCTCACCTGGTGCAAGGTCGAGCGCTTAGCAGGTTCCTTTTTTCCTGCAGATTTCAGCGTTCTTGTTGATGCATTTTCTCATCGAGCACCATACCCACGCACTCTGTTTTGCATGAGTAAGTATACAAAAAATTTGTCTCAACTGAGCTACCGCTTCTCAGCCCCGCAAATTTGAACAAGTTACTTTAAATCACGCCTCGTCCCAGTAAGCTCGTTTTCATATGCCCTGCTAGGCAGTTTCCCTTCAATTCCCTTCACAGAAATACTTTCGTTCGCAACCGCATCTTTAAGGCATGTATGTTTTCTTTCCTGCCTCTGGTCCTCACTTTGGTTTTCTGTAAGTTTCCCCTTATTTGCTTGCACGTTATCTGATGGTTTGTTGACCGAGCTAGATCGTTTGGACGTAACCGTTGAGTCCTTGATTAGAGTGACACTGAGCTGTCCGTATGAGATGAAACACCAGCTTCTTTCGGGTTTGCATGCAATTGGTATTCCGTAAACGACCTCCAATCAGATTGGTAGTGACGAAATTTCGTTTTTCTGCATCCTGACAGCTTTGGAACTGAGGCCTGAGTTTGATTTTAAGGGGGTTCCCAGTAAATCTTTTGTACTGCTCTTATTTTATATTATCTGATATGGTGGATTCTTCTTATTTGTCTTCATTTCTGTTCTGTTTTAGTGCGTCCCCATTCATTTCTAAAAAGTTCAAACAAGTCCGTTTGAATCTGGACGATTTCCAGAAAAATTCACTATCGGATACTGTGTCTGCCTTACGTTTGTGATCGCCCCTTTGTCACTTCAGTAGTGAGCACATCTAACGGAGAAGCAGGCAGGCCACTTATTTTTTTCCCTTGTTTCTGTCCAATTCATCAGGTCCCTTATACCTATCGTCTTTCCCGCCACATTGGTAGTTCCGTTGCAACCTGCGTGCCTGAATTTGTTCTCATGTCGCCCGCTCATCAGCCCACATTTTCCCACATCAGCTTGTCCTGCGCTAGATTGTCCAGCCACTAGCATAGCCGTAACACCAACCTAAATAATGCCACTAATCCCAATAGAAATAGACAAACAACCTATACTGGCTGGTCACCACCTTGCTCTCAGTTTTCTGGTATGCCCATGTAAATACTGTGATATACTGGTTGGCCACATATTCACGTACATCTGATCACACAAACATAGGCAGTTGCGGTCCACTGTATGTAGATACCTGAGTATATCGTGAATATTGCCGCTTGAATTATTGAAGTCCAAGATGGCCTATGGTACGCACGATTCAAGGTATTGTACCGGGGATTCAAAATCTGGGAACGTCATTTTGTTGCTTCCTGTCAACTGCACCGTAAATGGGATGTCGCCGAACACGTTTTCCCCCGGTGACTGTGTGACTCGAAAATTTTGTAGCGATATCACGAGGAAGCTTCTCTTCCAGTTATCGCATCGTGAGTTCCCCAATAGTGCCTAAGACTGGTTCATCCATCGGTACCGTTTCGAGTACACCGGTGCTGGAGCTGGTGCTTTACTGCCTACGGCCACAAAGTTAGATTTACTAATTGTATTTCAAACCTCACCATAAAAAGGGAGAAAAATAGGCACGGAGGGCAACACCAGTATCCGCCGACGATGACTTGATGTGCATGGAATATACCCGGGCCATCGCAGTTTATGACGCTGGGCGTTATTCATAACAAAAGTGCTTGAAGTGCAACTAAAAAGCAGTTTTGTGATTGCTGCGTTTCAGATTCCTAAATACTTTTGAGGACTCCAAGGAGAAAACCTGAGGAGTTTTACATTTGCTGCTCGTAGGGGCCACGTTCGCTAAATATAAAGCAAAGTAGTTCGTAGAAAAGCCTGAAGCAGTGACAACTAGAGACCCAATACCAAGCCTTGTCCAGGTCTAAAATGAGATTCATTGACAGGTGTGATTCGGACTTCTGAGATTGTCTGGAACTTTCAACAAACACCTTTGCATTATTTCTCAAAAATATCAGAATATATGTATCCAGCAAAATATTAGTGCCTTCGAAAGGAGGTCGCAAAGACCACTCATAAGTAACATACCTTTTCTTGGATTTCCCTGTATGTGCTTACTTACACACTGCGTGCCAGTGAACTCTTTGTGCATGTTCACTCAGAGTTTTCCCCTTTGTATTTTGTCTCTTCAATATAACCTTGCGTATATCATCTGTTGGCGATTTCACAAAATAGTGGTGAGAAGTTCGTGGGTTTTCTGTCACACTCTTGGGCGAGGTGCTGCAGCTGCTTACAAGAAGTTCTCACCTTTTGTGTGACACTCAGACAGGAAGCGGAGATTGGCTCAAAACCTGGCGGCTTATTCAACAAGTGGACACCAGGCTTGTCGAAGTATTTGGTTGGTCTTTCAACCTTTCCGTCGAAAATTTTCCATTAGCATGCGTAAGATGCCTATTGGACCCCAATGTTTGAAAGTGACTGACAGCTACAAGAGCGTCTTCCTCAGTGGATGCCTGGCCTAATTAGCCAGAAGACCACAACAAATCCTCTCGCTTTGGCAAGTGTCCACGCAGGTTCCTTATGTTACCGATCAGGAGGAATTCCTCACACATGGACCCACATTAGCATGATACAATGGAAAAAATATCTGGATAGAGGATCTACAAAGTACGTTTGGTGCAGTAAAGCTGGAACAAAACCCTGCTGGACAGTACGAAAAGTGATATGTGTGCATCGTTACAACATTATAAACACTTTTTGACGACAGTGAACGGAGACATGGCCAACAGGGCTAAAAGTGTACACATTTCACACGCCGCATGCTAAATTAGAATGCATGTGATCGCCCGTAATGAAGCATTCTAGTAGCAGAGTGATCGGATGCCTTGGAACTCTCTTCAGTGATGAAGGTGTGAAAGAACAATCGTCACTAGATCTTTCCTCTACAGATTGCAGCTCCCAGTACTCGTACTCATCAGCTACAGACCTTGTGATAGAGTTCCGCACATCACAGGCCCTGAGCTGCAAATTTGCTCCCTTAGGCC